CAGCACGTTTCCACGGTCTCAATAGATTCGGATGTCCTTGTGTTGGGCTAGTTTCTTCTCTGGTTCAAGTCATTGAGATTATAGTATTCTTGTGGCAGTTAGCACTGATTTTCGACCAGTATGGTTGACACCAACACTATCGGCGATTCTGCTGAGGGTAGCGGCGAGCTCCTGCGATCTCCTAGGACTATGCGTATCTTGATATGTGGATGCTGGGATCTGATGCACACTGGTCACTTCAATGCCATCAGACAAGTAAGTGACAAGAGCGAGGATTGAACCTGGATCTTTGAGTTGTATTTAGGTTGCGACCATCGCTCACGAGATTGAGAGGGAGAAAGAATTGGAAGGGGAGGTAAGGAAGGAGGTTGTGCCCCCACTAGCGTCGTCCCATTCTGGGTTATTATGTGTGAGTAGTAGTGGGGAAGATTTACGTTACCGAAGACTTCCTATTTCTCGAGCTTTTATTCAACAGTTAGATGTGCTCTTTGTCGTGGCCGTCTTGTGTCTCATTCCTCTTGCACGGCTCTCTTATCAATGATAGTAGCGGGCATCACGCAGAGTATTGTTTGGGTGTACGTCTGTTTGGGACGAGCTTTGGTAGCCTATGAGTCAGTTGCGAGGAATGGTTGTAAGAGTCGTCCGCTTGAGTGATGTTCGTCTCTCAGAGGGTTCGTGTTGAAGTCGTGGCTGGAATTCACCCTAACAAGGAAATCCGTCGAGTAAAAGGAGGAGAGTTCGTCTGTTCGGAAGAAGAGAAGGAGGTACTGGCAATAGTCCTTATACTTGTGGCGGGTGAAATTTGCCTTCCAGACGATGTTGAGATCCTGCAAATGGGTGGATGACATTGTGCACGATGTTCCTTACAAGCCCCTCACAGTGGAGTTCCTGGATAAGGTATTGTCTCCGTGACGCTAAATTATCTCGCGGTATTGAACGGGCTTTAGCAGTGCTAGGATACTTCCTGCCAACATGCATCGTCGTTTCCACTTGACTGTTGTTACCTTTTCTCCTTCAGCATCGCATCGATTATGCGGTGCATGGTGACGACATTGCGAAAGCCTCTGATGGTACCGATATGTATGGTTACGTCAAAGAAGCTGGCAGGTGAGAATCATCACTTGATGGTTCTGTGGTATGCGATATGAATCGCAGAGTCGTGGTTCACCTCAGATACCGCGAGTTTAGGAGGAGCGAGTGTATCTCTACAACGACCCTGATCAATAGAGTAGTTTCCATACTCTCGTCTGCGCCGTGGGCTTCTCTTTGTGAAATGAGGGTATTGACCATCGACCGAATGATTTTCGTGCGACGGAACAGTGAACTGTAGTTCTGACGATCTCTTCGGAAAAAACTCAGGTTGGCTGGGGATGTGCAACAGGATGAACCGTTCATCACGAACATTTGTGAAATTTGTGATAATCCATATGAGCTGTTACTGATATTCACCCGATCATTGACTTAACTGCACTTTACCCCGTTATTTGAAAGCTCACTACTGCACGACGGGAGTGAACTTTCCTTTTCTAGCAGAACGCTCGTACTGTGAATCTTACATCCTTTTCGATCGTCTTTTCTCTCAGATTTTGGGTTGTTCTCCCGGTGCAAACGCCAACGAGGCTTTCTCACTGACCAGCAGGAGGATGACCGAATTTTCTCGAGGTTACAGGCCTATCGAGAGTGCCAGTAAAGTGAGTATCAAAAGTCATGCTGATGGTTTGAACCGTGTCCCTAGATTGTGTATATCTCCGCGGTTTGGGATTTATTGCACACTGCACATATTGAGGCTCTCCGACTCGCTAACGATGCTGTCGAAGGCGCTGACTATCTTCTAGTAAGTACTTGAGTATTTCGTTCAGCGTTGTGGGACTCGCGTTTTAGGTTGGCGTTAGACATGATTCTTCAGCAAATGGAGAGAGGGACAGGACGATCACATCTGATGGCGAGCGTGCGTTATCCT